TCATAATGCCCATATCTCGACCTGAAAGCAGTTTTCTGTACATCCACATCCCTAATTTTGAGTTGATGATACCCTGAACGCAAATCAATCTTTGAAAATACTGAGGCACCTCGAAGTTGATCAAACAAATCGTCAACGCGGGGTAGAGGGTACTTATTGCGAATAGTCATCTTATTCAACTGTCTGTAGTCAATACATAATCTCATTGTGCCATCTTTCTTTTTTACAAATAAAACAGGCGCTCCCCATGGAGATACACTAGGTCTAATGAAACCTTTATCCACCAAATCTTGTAATTGTACCTTTAATTCCTTCAACTCTTTTGGAGCCATTCGATAAGGTACTTGTGAAATAGGTGCTGTTCCGGGGACTAAATCAATACAGAATTCAATCTCCCTATCTGGGGGTAATCCCAGAAGTTCTTTTGGAAAGACATGGGGGAAATCTCGCACAACTGATATATCATCAATTTCCAGCTTAGTGATCTGAGTATCAATCACATGAGCTAAATATGCATGACAACCCTTTTTTAGCATTCTTCGGGCATCAAAGACAGATATCATACAAGATGGCAAAATTCTGCGCTCTCCAGTGAGAACAATTTCAAGATTTTCTGGACTTCTAAATATCACTTCCTTGCAAAAACAATCGACTGAAGCACAATGTCTAGATAAAAAGTCCATCCCCAAAATAACATCAAAATCATGAATATCGAGTGGAATTAGATCTGCTTTCAATTCATGATTGTCCACTCTAATCCCACAATCTTCGTATACCCAACTAGCTAAAAGTGAATCCCCTACAGGAGTCATTACTACTAATTCACTGTTTAAAGGCTCCGACATTTTATCAGCATGGCTAGCAAGTGCATGAGAAATAAAGGAATGTGTAGCACCCGAATCAATTAAGGAACAAGCATTTCTACCAAAAATAGATAACATACCCATAACTACGTCAGGTGATTCCTCGGCCTCCTGTTGTGTCATAGCAAACACTCTGCCCTGACTCTAAGTACGTCCTGTCTGTCCCCTCTGCCTGGAATCACTGCCACCAGCCATATCAGACTGTACTCTACTAGTCGAACCTACATTACTTGTTGGAATTCCCTTTTTATTCTGTCTCGATCTGGCATCACTAGTCCCTATCTGTATACTTGTCCCCTGAGATGAGCCTCTCTCCTGAAATCGGACTGGACAGTCTTTCCTTAAATGTCCTTCCTGTCCGCACAAAAAGCATCCATTGGTACCCTTAAGACACTTACCAAGATGGAGTTTCCCACAAATCTGACAAGGCGGATATCGAGTACTACTAAGGCCGTCGATAGGTCTCGAGGCTGTAGCCCTCTGAACTGAAGACTGACGATGTGCTAGCTGGTTGACGGAGTTCTGACTACGACCGGATTCTTGACTGGAACCAAAACTCTGAGATCTCGACTTAAAACTCCCAGTATGAGTAACACCAGGCCAAAATCTTCCTCTGTTCTTTTTATGCTGTCCACTAGAGGTTCCTATCTGACTTTGATTTCCTCGAATAGCTAACTGAATCCCCTGACTCTGTCCTGCTTGTAATGCTGCTTCGACTCTCAAGGCCGCCTCAACTACTGGACCAAATCTGGCATGTCCCTGCCCTGTCACTATCGCCCTAATATCAGGCCTCAAGTTCTCTTTGAATCGTCTGCATTTGTCATTCTCCTCATTTACTAGAACCAATGCATACTTTGAAAGCTCTACAAACTTGGTGTGATATTCAGAAACAGTCATTGAACCTTGAGTCAGTCTCAAGAACTCATTTTGCTTGGCATTCTTGTATGAATGAGGATAATAAGTCTCAAAGAAAGCATCTCTAAAAATAGCCCATGTGATGCCACTGGCTTCATGATACCTACTTCGAAAAGCAACCCACCAGTCAGCTGCCACACCTTTCAGCAAGAAAGTAGCAAGGCGTAGTTTCTTTTCCTCAGAACAACCCATAACATCAAAAATACTTTCTAAATTTCTCATCCATTCCTCAGCATCAGCAGGGTTAGCTGTGCCCACAAAATGTTTAGCACCGAGCTTAATTGCCCTCTCAATGCTAGTATCTCTATCTGGGTTGGGAAGAATAGATGCAATGGCTGTAGCGAGTCTGTCGAATAGGGGATCATTTCCAACCACATTACCCTGTGTCGGCAGTCCTTGCGTCTGATGAACTGATGCCTCACCTACATCTTCTCTTGCAGGGGCATTTGGATTTTCAGGTAGTTGGTTTCGACGCCTGCCCGCTCTGCCACTGCGCATCCTTAACCTACAATATGCATAACATGTTGAAAGATCAGAATAAATCCAGCATATCCCAGAGACTCTTGAACCATGCTCTGATACCACTTGACACATCCCGTCCTAAGACTTAAGACGTGACGTGAGCCGATGATAAGTGCCAGCTAGGCACTGGACCCATCACCAAGGCAAAAGTAGCTAAACTTTAATAATAAAGCTTCGTTTGACCAATTAAAATCTTTCTAAACTCCAATAAAATACCAACATAATACTATCATTTGCTCGTTTAACCAAAAACATCCATAACATATACATCAAAACTGCCTCTCAAAAGGATAATAGGATGCAGTTTAGATTACAATATTACATCATGATCATTGGTGTATATAAATACCAAAATAATTTTCCTCCAATATGATGTAAATATTTTACTTGATGATTACACAATTTCAAACAAAAGAACCTACAATTGGTGGTAGCAATGTCTGCAAAACTATCAAAATAATCTCCACCACCGCTCAGTCAACAGCCTCCTATAAGGAAAAGTTCAGGAAAATATGAGATAATAATCCCAGTGAGTGAAGTACTTAAAAGATGGTTGTACTGTCCTTTGTGTGTGTGTATATATATATATATATATATATATATATAACGAGATGAGTAAGTACATTAGACAATTCAATAATTAAAAACCATAATCTAAACTCCACAAGCTGAACTGTAAGCGGGAAAAATGTAACTGAAGACTAATAATCCACTATATAATTAAAA